TTACATAGCACTCTGGATACCAGTTATAAAAACACTTGGAACAGTTAACAAGACATTTGGAACCATTATAAACAAGACACTCTGGAACATTTGTACAAGACACTCTGGAACAGTTTAAAAAGACACTCTGGAACAGTTGTACAAGACACTGGAACCTATTAGTCCAAGAAACTCTGGAACAGTTAGTAAAAGACCCATCTGGAAAGTCTTGTAACAGAACTCTGAACCGGGATAAAAACAAGACACTCTGAACCAGTAGTAACAGACACTCTGGAACAGAGTTAGTAACAAGACCACCTGGACCAGTTGTACACAGACACTCTGGAACAGTTGATAAACAGACACTCCTGGAACCAGTAGTAACAACACTCGGACCAGTTAGTTACAGACACTCTGGAACAGTAGTAACAAGACACTTGGAACAGTAGTAAAAAGTCACTCTGGAACCAGTTATAAACAAGACACTCTGAACCAGTTAGTAACAAGACACTGTGGAACGATACAGACATTGGAACCGTTGTAACAAGACACCGGAACCAGTTATAAACAAAGAACACATGAACCGTTAGTAACAAGACACTTGGAACAGTTATAAAGAAGACACTCTGAACCAGTTTTAAATAACCTTTGGAACGAGTTGTAACAAGACACTCTGGAACCAGTTATAAACAAGACACTCTGGATACGTGCTAAATCAAACACTTGCTGAACCAGTTTAACAGACACTGGAACCAGTTGTAACAAGACATCTGGAAACCAGTTTACAAGACACTTGAACATTATAACAAGACACTCTGGACAGTAGTAACAAGACTACTCTGCAACAGTGTAACAAACACTCTGGAACCAGTAGTAACAAACACTCTGGAAAAGTATAAACAAGGCACTTGGCACCAGTAGTAACAGTCACTCTGGATCCAGTTAGTAACAAGACACTCTGACATTATAACAAGACACTCTGAACATTATAACAAGACATCGGGAACAGTTCAGCAACAGACACCTGACCTTAGTAACAAACGACTCTGAACCAGTTAGTAACAAGACATGGAACAGTTATATACATAACACTCTGGAACAGTTAGTAACAAGACACTCTGGAACCAGTTAGTAACAAGACACTCTGGAACCAGTTATAAACAAGACACTCTGGAACCAGTTAATACAAGACACTCTGGAACCAGTTAGTAACAAGACACTCTGGAACCAGTTAGTAACAAGACACTCTGGAACCAGTTAGTAACAAGACACTCTGGAACCAGTTAGTAACAAGACACTCTGGAACCAGTTATAAACAAGACACTCTGGAACCAGTTAGTAACAAGACACTCTGGAACCAGTTAGTAACAAGACACTCTGGAACCAGTTAGTAACAAGACACTTTGGAACCAGTTAGTAACAAGACACTCTGGAAACCACGTTATAAACAAGACACTCTGGAACCAGTTAGTAACAAGACACTTGGAACCAGTTATAACAAGACACTCTGGAACCAGTTATAACAAGACCACTCTGGAACCAGTTAGTAACAAGACACTTGGAACCAGTTAGTAACAAGACACTCTGGAACCAGTTAGTAACAAGACACTCTGGAACCAGTTAGTAACAAGACACTCTGGAACCAGTTATAAACAAGACACTCTGGAACCAGTTATAAACAAGACACTCTGGAACCAGTTATAAACAAGACACTTTGGAACCAGTTAGTAACAAGACACTCTGGAACCAGTTATAAACAAGACACTCTGGAACCAGTTAGTAACAAGACACTTTGGAACCAGTTATAAACAAGACACTCTGGAACCAGTTATAACAAGACACTCTGGAACCAGTTATAAACAAGACACTCTGGAACCAGTTAGAACAAGACACTCTGGAACCAGTTTATAACATGACCTCTGGAACCAGTTAGTAACAAGACACTCTGGAACCAGTTAGTAACAAGACACTCTGGAACCAGTTAGTAACAAGACACTCTGGAACCAGTTAGTAACAAGACACTCTGGAACCAGTTAGTACAAGACACTCTGGAACCAGTTAGTAACAAGACACTTTGGAACCAGTTAGTAACAAGACACTTTGGAACCAGTTAGTAACAAGACACTTTGGAACCAGTTATAACAAGACACTCTGGAACCAGTTAGTAAACAAGACACTTGGAACCAGTTAGTAACAAGACACTCTGGAACCAGTTAGTAACAAGACACTCTGGAACCAGTTAGTAACAAGACACTCTGGAACCAGTTAGTAACAAGACACTCTGGAACCAGTTAGTAACAAGACACTCTGGAACCAGTTAGTAACAAGACACTTTGGAACCAGTTAGTAACAAGACACTCTGGAACCAGTTACAACAAGCACTATCTGGAACCAGTTAGTAACAAGACACTCTGGAACCAGTTAGTAACAAGACACTCTGGAACCAGTTAGCAACAAGACACTCTGGAACCAGTTAGTAACAAGACTCTCTGGAACCAGTTAGTAACAAGACACTCTGGAACCAGTTAGTAACAAGACACTCTGGAACCAGTTAGCAACAAGACACTCTGGAACCAGTTAGCAACAAGACACTCAGGAACCAGTTAAAAACAAGACACTCAGGACCCAGTTAATAAGACACTCAGGAACCAGTTAAAAACAAGACACTCAGGAAGCAGTTAATAAGACACAGAACAGTTAATAAGACACTCAGGAACCAGTTAGCAACAAAACACTCAGAAACCAGTTAGCAACAAAACACTCAGAAACCAGTTAGCAACAAAACACTCAGGAAGCAGTTAGCAACAAAACACTCAGAAACCAGTTAGCAACAAATATTCTGGAAACCAGTTTAGCAACAAGACACTCAGGAACCAGTTAATAAGACACTCAGGAACCAGTTAAAAACAAGACACTCAGGACCCAGTTAATAAGACACTCAGGAAGCAGTTAGCAACAAGACACTCAGGAACCAGTTAGCAACAAAACACTCAGGAACCAGTTAGCAACAAAACACTCAGGAAGCAGTTAGCAACAAAACACTCAGGAAGCAGTTAGCAACAAAACACTCAGGAACCAGTTAGCAACAAAACACTCAGGAACCAGTTAAAAACAAGACACTCAGGACCCAGTTAATTAGACACTCAGGAACCAGTTAATAAGACACTCAGGAACCAGTTAATAAGACACTCAGGACCCAGTTAATAAGACACTCAGGAACCAGTTAATAAGACACTCAGGAACTAATCAGTTTAAGCATCAGGACCAGTCAAAGACACTCAGGAACCAGTTAGCAACAAAACACTTAGGAACTAATTAGTTTTACAACTGCTGAGCCACAGCATAATTAAAATAATTAACACAATGACCATCTCCCACCAAGGTGATCGAGCCAAGAAAGAGGAAACACATTCACTGTTATTCAGTCAATCACTATCTTGTCAGAAGTGCAAATGTAAGTGAAGCATAACCATCCTTTGTACCTTTTTAAACAAACAACTTGTTAGTAAGTTGAAAAGGCAAGAGAGCAGCTGGACGTAAATTAGGGGGTCTTGCGTAGAGCATTTTACGTCATTAATTATCTCTTTCCAAGTCCAAACCATCTTAGCTCCAGCTTTGTATCTTATATTTATTCCTTGCTTCAAATTCTATTTAAACATTGATATTATGTAACACAAAATATTCATGGTGGCACAATACTGCACAAAATACATTTGTTTCACTTAGAGCAAACTCTGAAGATACGCAAAACAAAGGTATAACTTTAAGACTTTTTTGTATAAAAATGCACTTGTATGTTCTTACTAATATTACTAGTAAAATCAAATAGTGTGTGGAAGATATCTGAAGAGAAATGAGTTATTTATAACTACAAATAAATTCAATTCTCACTTTTTTCATCTGATAAAACAATTGCTTACTCTATCACAAATTATATACAGTGGACCCCCGCATAACGATTACCTCCGAATGCGACCAATTATGTAAGTGTATTTATGTAAGTGCGTTTGTACGTGTATGTTTGGGGGTCTGAAATGGACTAATCTACTTCACAATATTCCTTATGGGAAAAAATTCGGTCAGTACTGGCACCTGAACATACTACTGGAATGAAAAAAGTTCGTTAACCGGGGGTCCACTGTAATACATTATTGACATTGCTAGCTCTTCGCCAGTGATAAATTATAAATTAGTGTAAGTTTTGGAGAAAAATAACTAAAATCTAAATAGATTACTTAACTAATGCAAGAAGAGATACAATGTAAATAAAATGCCACAAAATATAGTAGTCTAAAACTCCATAATTTTTCAGTTTTCCAAGGAGGTGGAATTTAGCACAAATATTATTCAACATAAAAGTTGCTGTTGAAAATGGCTTTGAAAACTGACAAGTTGAAGTAGGAGACACTTGTGTAACATTTGAGAATCTTTAGAGGAAATATTTTGCCAGCCAGTGGCTTCTTCAGTCCAATACAGATAATAACAGTTGAAGATGAGGAGTTTGAGGTAATCAGTCCCTCAAACTCCTCCTTATCTTCCACTGTTATTCTCTGTATCAGACTGAACAAGCCACTGGCTGGCAAAACATTTCCTCATTAAAGATTTTCATAAACATGTCATTACTGCAACATGACAAAGAAAATGCTCATTCCTTCCCTCTCACTATAAACAAACATGGATTACGTAAACAAAATTTAGTTATTTTATGTTTAAAATATTTTCATGGAGAGATAATGACAATAAAAACAATCTTGCGAATGTTTAATAATTGACACTCTCACAGGACTATTATTGTATTTACAGATAAGTGCTAAACCCATAAGGGTCATGCAGCGCCTGGGAAATGGGATGTAATCAGGTTTGATCCGAGGAAGACGAGGGTTAACTTTAATTCCTTAGATTCCACAGATCAAGATCACAATCTGTTAGAATATACAATGAGTACTCAGGAGTTGACTAACCTGGTAATGATCAAGATCACAATGTTAGAACATACAATGAGTACGCGGGAGTTGACTAACCTGGTCATGTTCATGTTGGCATGATGCATGGGACCCATATTCATCATCATCTGGTTATTGTTTCCATAATGATCATACATGTGTTGCTGTTGTTGCTGTCCCATCATCTGTTGTCTCCGCTGGTATATGCTATAGAGTTCTCCCGTCTCCCGATCGTTGTTGGCATTGCAGTTATCATCGTAGGGAGGCGGAGGTGGCTGCTGAGAATGCTGATTTTGTTGAGGATGTGAGAGAGCAGATTTCCCATCAGGAACAGGAGGAAGGGGAACATTCTGTTTCGGATGAGGATGGTGCTGGGCTGGCAGTTGGTGTTGGTATGGTGGTGGCATGTTGGACTGCACATGATTGGAAGGTGGAAGCTGAGGTGGTGTCGGCGACGATTTAGGAGGAAGAGCTGGTGGAGAACCTGGCTTTTCTTCACGGATTTCCTTCTCAATTTTGTCAGATAGGGCTGGCTTGTTGAGGGAATCTGTCGACTGTCGCTTGTCTGGGCTACGCGATCGTGCCCGTCTTGGTGGTGGTTTAGGAAGGGCAACTTTCTCAATTATAGTGGGAAGATCTCCATATGAACTACTGGTAAATACATTTTCCGTGTCAAATAATCTGTCAACGGATGTATTCATAGTCTTTTTTCCTGTGAGATGGAAGCTCGCAATGCTCTTAGACATGAGGTTGATATCACCAGTTGAAAGTGCCATAGAACTTCTGTTTGACCCAAGGCCAAATGGAAGTCCATCAAGGTTAGGATTTAGTGAACGGGACATTATATCTGTAGCTCTTGGTCGACTGTAGGGCATGGCAGAGTGTGGGAAAGTTCTGGGTTTAAAGGGTGTTACTAAGAGATGCTCCGTCCAAGAAGCCTCAAGAGGAGGCTTTTCTAGACGCTCAACATCAACATTAAGAGTTTTTTGTTCAAATGGGCATGCAAATGTTTCTGGGGGTATACTTTGTAGCCACGAAAGTAATGAGAGATCAGAATCACTGAATGTTGTGGCGGCAAGGAGTGAAGGAAATTTGAGCGTGCCAGAACCGTTGCCCTCTCCAGTGGCCTGATTCTGGCAGTAGTCGACACATGACTCATATAGAAGACCTTTGATGATTAACTGAACAAGACGATCATTTCTGGCCATGCCAACACCTTCCATTGCACCAGCAAGTCCTCCACGATGCTCGGCTGGCAAGAACTTTTCCACCAGAGGAAACACCTGATAAAACAAATGTAAATGTATTATCTTCATCAAAAGAGTACAACTTCTAATATTCAAGAGCTGGAAATGTTACTAACTAAAACTTTAAAAGATATATTAACAATTTAGCATGCAGCTAACTTATTTAGTGGACATTATTAATTGCATTTTAGAAAAAATGCATGTATACAGTGCATAAATATGTTCAAAAAACTGTCCTGTAGCAACTAACAAAAATTTCCAAACATTACCCCAGGAACGTTACATTAACAAGAAAATACACCTACCTGGCCGCTTCCCACCCTATGTCAGTGGGACACAGCAGGTAGGTTAAAATTTATTATTATTATTATCATCATAATCATTATTATTAGTGCTGTTATTGTTGTTATTATTATTATTAATGAAGCATGAACGTTTTGTAGGGGCATTCAAGAAAGGGTTAGAGAGAGGGGTGGAGGTTTTACGTATTACATGCTTGAGCAGAGTGATAACAAAGCGGTTTTTTGGATTTGTAACCAGTTAGCCAGGCTTGAGTCTTTAAAGTACAGTGACTACAGTGGTGATGGATAGTGATGCTGCACAGTGGCATACGGTGGGTTATTGTCACATGATGTGTGCTGTGCATGATGCAACTAGCTGTGTGGTGTGCAGTGCTATTTTAGAACAACTTCCACAATATTTCATAACAGGGGACAGAAAAATTAGTTTCCCATTGCAGCCTCTCCTCACTTAACGATGGAGTTCCATTCCTAAGACCACGTCGTTAAACGAACTTGTTGCAACGTGAAGAGCATATTATAATTGTAGTGAGTTTGTGTCAACCATCTCTGATATTGTTTTAATGTCACCTTTGCACCATTTATAACATTTCTGGTATATTTTTAAAAGTTTACACAGTAGTGTACTGTATATTGAAATAAACAGAATAGAGAAAATCAGCTCTAATATACATTATTTAGGTATGAATGCTGGTCAGAGAGCCTGTCATAAGTCCGAGGCATCGATAAACGAGTACGTTGCAAAGTGAGGAGAGGCTGTATTATCCATCATTATATTATTGTGTGAACTTAATACATGTATTTATGATGAATTTACCATCTTTGGTGGGTATGCAGCACTCACCTGATGCTGTGTTCTGTGGGTCATTTGAACTATGGTTTCCATGCATTCTGCACTACAGTGAAAACCAAACGATGATGATATGAGGACGGGTGTTAATGTTGCAGTTTAAAAACTGTAGTGTACAGCACCCTTCTGGCAAGACAGTGATGGAGTGAATGATGGTGAAAGTTTTTCTTTTTCGGGTCACCCTGCCTTGGTGGGAATCGGCCAGTGTGATAATAAAAAAAAAAAAAAAAAAAATGAGGTTATGACAGGAAACAATGTAGGTACAGTCGTGGTACAAGCTACGGTTAACAAAATGATAGGAAAGAATACAGGTACAGGACTGGTACAATGAATGCCATGATTAACGAGATAGAAAAGAATGCAGGTACAGGACTGGTACAAATGAATGCCATGGTTAACAAGATGACAGAAAAGAATACAGGTACAGGACTGGTACAATGAGAACCTTGGATAACAAACTAACAATAAGAAAGAATACAGAGAAAAAGCCATATTGAAGGAGCAGATATTCATGTGGTGGATATATGTTGCAGTTTTTCAACTGCAGTGTCATCACCTGTCTGGCAAAAAAGTGATGGAGCGAGTGATGATGAAAGTGTTTCTTCTTTTTTGGGTCACTCTTCCTCAGTGGGAAACAGCCAGTGTGTTAATAAAAAAAAATATTCTATCAATCACATTTATGAAAAAACTACACTATACAGTGGACCCTCGGCTAACGATATTAATCCGTTCCTGAGAGCTCAACGTTAGAGGAAATTGTTAGCCGAATTAATTTTCCCCATTAGAAATAATGGAAATCCAATTAATCTGTTCCAGACAGCCAAAAGTATTAAAAAAAATAATTTTGTTTTCATGAAATATACATTTCCCTACAAAGAAAACAATGAGACATGCACAATAACTAAATAAATAAATGTTAAAATAACACTTACCTTTATTGAAGAGTATTGATGAGTGATGAGACATTGTTTTTCTTGAACACTCTGGGATTTTCAGAGTGATACATGAGTAAAGGCTTCACTCTGAAATCCCCACCACTAGCATTACAACAAAACAAGAAAGTTAGCCTGTCTTTCATAGGCTTGTGTCCTGGGAGTGCCTTTTCCTCCTGAGTAATGTAGGTCCTGTTTGGCAATTTCTTCCAGAACAGGCCTGTTTCGTCACAATTGAACATTTGTTGGGGTTGGAATTTTTCAGCTTCACCATTCCTTATCACACTGTGTATGCCACTACAATTCTTAAATCTCTCAAACCAACCTTTGCGGGCCTTAAATTCACCAATATGAGCACTAGTTCCAATTTTTTCCTGTTCACCTGGGGGACAAGATAAAGGACCCCAATGGAAATAAGTTAGTCCTCAATGACTCACTGCCCCTCTTGGGTTATCCAGGGTGGCTAACCCTCCGGGGTTAATTGTTTCTCAAGAACAGTGTCTCCACATCTTCGAGTGATACAGCTGACGGTGGTGCAGCAACAGCTGATGGTGGTGCAGCAGCAGCTGACTGTGATATGACAGTATTTTGATAGTATTTCTCACCCTTTTTACTACAGGGTTGGCACTAGAAGCTTTCTTTGGGCCCATGGTGGCTTATTTAGCAGGTACAAGCACTAAAAACAACGGAATAATACAAAATGTATCAAATGTATGCATGAAACCGGCCACCCTGGCTTGTAAACAATGATGGCAGGGCAGCTGAGGCGCTCAGGCTGGACGGACAGGTTCGGGACGAATCACGTTGAGAGAATTTTTTATCATTAGCCAGGCCAAAATTTTTATGCTCAAATGCTTCGTTCGGCAGATTTAACGTTATGCGATGCATTCATTAGCTGAGGGTCCACTGTACAACTATACAGAAGAGCCTGATAAGAGAGCTAAGTGTAAGATAAACACAGGATTACGTCATTACCTCAGACTACTACAATTCAAATTCAAATATTCATTTCCTTGTAAAGCTTACAATGTGTGGTTTATATGTTATAAGATTTTAACCCTTTGACTGTCGCAACCCCCAAATCCTGAGGTGTCTCCTGGTTTCGCAAAATATTTGAAAAAAAAAAAAAAAAAAAAAAAAAAAAATTCCTTATGAAATGATCGAGAATCTTTTCCCGATGATAATGACACCAAAAGCACAAAATTTGATGGAAAGCTTACAGAATTATGCTCTCGCTAAGTCAGCGATCTCGGCGATATTTACGAATCGGCGATTTTCCTCACTTTGAGCCCTATTTTTGGCTAATTCCATTGTTCCAGTCGACCAAACTCATAACTATTTCTTTAGAACTCCATTTGTTCTATCGAATGAGTAAAAGAAACTGCCCATTTACCAATTTCAACTACCCAATAAAGTGGTCAGAAATTGGCAATTTGGTGAATTTCATGCAAATTAAAAAATATGCCAGTTTCAAAATAGGGTCCAGAATGAACAATGTAGACATTCCTGGCTCTAAAATAACATTTTCTTTGTTCATCAGTCACATCTGCTTTCTATTTTGAATTTTTATTCAAGCAAAAAATAGATTTACTGTTATGCAGACTACTGCAATATTGTAATAACTATAAATAACATCAACCCATTCATGACTGCATATTAGAATGGCTAGTTGGGCATTTATTGGACAATGACATCATTTGTTTACTCTTGAACATCAGCAAAAATCAAACATTTTCCCTACTTTGAGCTCCATTTCCAGGTCCTTTTCATAGTAAAACCAAAGTTACTTCTATTTCTATAATGTGTTTTCCATTCTATCAAATGAGACCATGAAAACAAAAATACAACCATAAATGCTACACAAAAATACACCTCAAAGTCGGTGTTTTAATCCAAAAACATGGTCGGAGTTTTTTTTTCTCATTACACACTGCGTGCTGCAGGATTTTTTTTATATGGTGCACACTGACCACACAGACCCATTCTCTCACATGTGGGCCTACCAGCTTTCTCCAGCTTGATTTGAAGCCGCTAGAATTTTTGAGTATACAGTGGACCCCCGCATAACGATCACCTCCAAATGCGACCAATTATGTAAGTGTATTTATGTAAGCGCGTTTGTACGTGTATGTTTGGGGGTCTGAAATGGACTAATCTACTTCACAATATTACTTATGGGAACAAATTCGGTCAGTACTGGCACCTGAACATACTTCTGGAGTGAAAAAATATCGTTAACCGGGGGTCCACTGTATATATGTCAAACACATTGGCTCGTAAGACGTATATATACGACCGAAAAAGTCAAAGGGTTAATTACAAAGAAGGCCACTATCGTGCCTATTGTACAGATGCTACCCTACTTATGAACATTTGAGTTACAAACATTATGATATATGAACAGACTGCAACCTCAAGTTTATTGTACCAATAAAAACTTGTACCAATTAAAAAGGTAACAAGTTTTTATTACAGTGTTATTATTAAAATATGCATTAGTATTAAGAACCGTACATTACTGATTTTTTTTTTTTTTTATTATCACTGGCCGATTCCCACCAAGGCAGGGTGGCCCGAAAAAGAAAAACTTTCACCATCATTCACTCCATCACTGTCTTGCCAGAAGGGTGCTTTACACTACAGTTTTTAAACTGCAACATTAACACCCCTCCTTCAGAGCATTGTAGAGTATTGTCTTTAAGTTTTCAACAAACAACGGCGCAGAGAAAGAACAATAATAATAATGATACTAATATTAAAAACAATAATAATAACCGTAATAGAAAAATGGCAAAATAACGACTTACGAACAATTCAAGATACAAACAGCCTTCTGGAACGTAACTTGTTCGTAAGTTCGGGGGGGGGAGGCGTCTGTACAAGCAAAATAATCACCTAAGATTATTTGTTTATGGCTTGATAAGACACAACAGTTGGGTATCTTTATTATTGAAATGTTTCACCTACACAGTAGGTTTCTTCAGTAAAATACAGAGGCAGCAAGTGTTTCTGTATTTGACTGAACAAACCTTCAGTGTAGGTGAAGTGTTCCAACAATATAGATACTCAGCTGATATATGTGTCTTAATTATCGCCTTGTTACTATTTTATACCATTTTCAACATAACTCTTATGGCTTAACCCTTTCAGGGTCCAAGGCCCAAATCTGGAGTCACGCACCAGTGTCCAAGAATTTTAAAAAAAAAAATTTGTTATTTTTTCTTATGAAATCGTAGAGAATCTTTTTGTGAAGGTAATAAAACAAAAAGTACGAAATTTGGTGGAAAATTGACGAAATTATGCTCTCGCGAATTTTGATGTGTCAGCGATATTTACGAATCGGCGATTTTGCCGACTTTGACTCCCATTTTAGGCCAATTACATTATTCCAATCAACCAAATTCTTAGCTATTTCACTAGTATTACTTCTATTCTATCGATTGAGCACAAGAAATCGCCAAGTCAACTGTTTCAACTACAAAATAAAGTGATCGGAAATTGTTAATTTGGCCAATTTAACACAAAGTTCAAAATATTCCAATTTCAAATAGGGTCCAGAATGAACAATGTAGGCATTCCTGGCACTAAACTAAACATTTCCTCTGTTCATTAGTTATGTTTTGAGGCTTTACAAATAAATTCCATTTTGATTTTTTATTCACATAATGAATTTTTATTCACACCAAAAAATAGAAGATTTACTGTTATGCAATATTGTAATAATTGTAAAAAATATCATCACCATATTTGTGAATGTATATTAGACCCACCAGCTGGTGTGTATTAGACGTGTGAGGTCGTTTGTTTACTCTTGAATATCGGCAAAATTTAACATTTCGCTACTTTGAGCTCAGTTTCAAGCCATTTCCAATGCTAAAACAATCAAAATCATCTTTATTTCTGTAATATGTCTTCCATTCTATCAAATGAGACCAAGAAATCGCAAATACAACTATAAAAAACATACGAAAAAACACTGCAAAGTTGCTGTTTTAATCGAAAAATCATGATTTCATTTTTTTTCTCTCATTATACACAGTGTGCTGCAGGATCTGTTTTATGTGGTGCACACATACCACATAGATGTATTCTCTCATATCTAGGCCCAAATGTACCACTCACAGTTTATCAGAGTGAGCTGAGCTCATGGCGTAGATCTACGGTTTGGACCCTGAACGTAAAGCCGTAGATCTACGGGACGGACCCTGAAAGGGTTAACATGCTGTCGGAGTTTAAGTAAAGTAACATCTATGAAGGTGTTCAGAATGACCAGGCAGCTGGACTTGAATTTTGGAGGTGAGAAGTGCAGTGTCTGAACTCTGGTGGAGTGGTAAGTAAGTTTATTTAGGCACAGGTACATGTAAGTAAAATTATTGTACATAGTGTAAATTACCTAGGACAGGGGTGGGCAAACTTTTCAGTGCAGGGGCCACATTCAGTTGTTGACAGGAATATAACTGAATCACAGTTTTCTCAAAAAGTATGTTCGAATATAAATATATCTTTGTATTATACATATTTATTCATTCATAATTAACCCTTTGAGGGTTTTCGTCGTACTAGTACGTCTTACGCGTAGGGGTTTTTGACGTACTAGTACTCATAAATTCTAGCGACCTCAAATCTAGTGGGAGAAAGCTGGTAGGCCTTCATATGAAAGAATGGGTCTATGTGGTCAGTGTGCACAGTCTAAAAAAAATCCTGCAGCAAACGGTGCATAATGAGAAAAAAAAAACTTTTTCCATTTTTTTTAATAAATCAGCGACTTTGCAGTGTATTTTCGTATGGTATTTATTGTTGTATTCTAGTTTTCTTGGTCTCATTTTATAGAATGGAAGACATATTACTGAAATTGAGATGATTTTGACTGGTTTTACAATGAAAGGTGCCTTGAAATTGAGCTCAAAGTAGCAGAAATGTTCGATTTTTACCAAACTTTAAAAGTAAACAAATCGTGCAAGCGTGCAATACACGTCAACTGGTGAGTCTAATATTCTTTCACAAGTGCACCAATAATATTTATACCATTTTTTTACACTAATGCAGTAGTCTGCATAACAGTAAATCTTATATTTTTTTGTGAGATAAAATTCAATAGTGGAAAGCAAAAGAATATAAGAGAGGCCTTGAGACGTGACTAATGACTAGAGGAAATGTCATTTTAGTGCCAGGAATGTCTTTCTTGTTTATTCTGGACCTATTCCGAAATTGGCATCTTTTGAAATTTGTGTGAAATTGGCAAATTGCTAAATTCTGACCACTGTACTGGATAGTTGAATTTATAAATGGGTGGTTTCTTGCACCCATTCGATAGAAAAAAATGGAGATCTAGCGAAATATTCATGTTTTTTGTCGACTAGTACAGTGAAATTGGCCGAAAATGGGGCTCAAAGTGGGCAAAATCGCCGATCCGTAAACATCGCCGAGACCGCTAACTTTGCGAGAGCATAATTCCGTAAGTTTTCTATCAAATTTCAAACTTTTGGTGTCGTTATGATCGGGAAAAGATTCTCTATCTTTTCATAAGAGAAAATAATTTTTTTTTTTTTTTAAATTTGGCCGACCCTGAGAACGAGTTTCGGAGAGGGCCTGTCGACCCTCAAAGGGTTAATATTCTTCTCCATGGGGAAGTGGAACAGAATTCTTCCTCCGTAAGCCATGCGTGTTGTAAGAGGTGACTAAAATGCCTGGAGCAAGGGGGTAGTAACCCCTTCTCCCGAATAAATTACTAAATTTAAAAAAGAAACTTTCGTTTTTCTTTTTGGGCCACCCTGCCTTGGTGGGATACGGCCGGTGTGTTGAAAGAAAGAATTAATATTCTATTGTACAACTATGAAATACAGTGGACCCCCGCATAACGATCACCTCCGAATGCGACCAATTATGTAAGTGTATTTATGTAAGTGCGTTTGTACGTGTATGTTTGTGGGTCTGAAATTACCTGGAGTTTACCTGGAGAGAGTTTCGGGGGTCAACGCCCCCGCGGCCCGGTCTGTGACCAGGCCTCCTGGTCACACCGTCCGTATCCCACCAAGGCAGGGTGGCCCAAAAAGAAAAACGAAAGTTTCTTTTTTAAATTTAGTAATTTATTCGGGAGAAGGGGTTACTACCCCCTTGCTCCAGGCATTTTAGTCACCTCTTACAACAGGCATGGCTAATCTACTTCACAATATTCCTTATGGGAACAAATTCGGTCAGTACTGGCACCTGAACATACTTCTGGAATGAAAAAATATTGTTAACCGGGGGTCCACTGTAATTACTATCCTACTGTACAACTATGATATACTACTCCTTAGTGTTAAGTAGTCTGTAAGTCAATAATGTTAAGTTGGCCCATACTGCCTAGGCATAATAGAGGCTCTCTTTGTACTGCAACTCACTATTGTAAATACAAAATCTCAATGTACTGTTTGCAAAGACATAAAATAAATAAATAATGTGTTAATGTTGCACAAAATTACTCGGCATTGCGTGGTAACTTTTTTTTTTCAAATTTACTAACATTTTGTCCCCAAATAACATGAGTATATGACTTGATCTTGGCGGGCTGCATAAAAACCTTTGGCGGGCCGTAGTTTGCCCACCGCTGACCTAGGATAACCCAAAAAAGTCAAACTGACTTATTTCCGTTGGTAGGGATGTTGTAGTTCAGAAGACCATTTGAAGTGTGATATCTGTGCACTTCAAGCAAGACAGCTGTTGAGTGATTGATGTTCATTATACAGTGGACCCCCGCATAACGATTACCTCCGAATGCGACCAATTATGTAAGTGTATTTATGTAAGTGCGTTTGTATGTGTATGTTTCGGGGTCTGAAATGGACTAATCTACTTCACAATATTTCTTATGGGAACAAATTAGGTCAGTACTGGCACCTGAACATACTTCTGGAGTGAAAAAATATCGTTAACCGGGGGTCTACTGTATTTTATACTGTGGGTTGCCCTACCTTAGTGAGAGACGGCCAGTGTGTTAAAAAAAATTCTATGTTATGAGTGTGTACTGTGAATGCCTATTCTCCAGAAGCTGCATAGCTTTTATGAATGTAATCAGGGAAACTGATTAGCCAGGCTTGAGCCCTAGACATGGGAGGATCAGTGCCTGCACTTTGAAGGAGATGTAGGAATGTTGCAGTTGCAGGTAATCTGACTGTGATGTCTGCACACTTCTGGAAAGACGGTTAATGCGTTCTCTTCTTTGGGTCACCCTACCTCAGCAGGAGATAGCCACTGAGTTAAAAAATATATATAGGCAAACACTATATTACTTTTTGACAAATAAGAGCTCACCTGAGTCCAACATTGAACCCGAGCACTACTGGGGTTCCAGTCTCGTAAGTCAGCATGTTCGTGTAGTCGAGGAAGTGTTAAGTACAAACACAGCTGTGAGTAAGCTTCTTTATTGGGAGCATATTTTTCCAACTCATTCAAAACCTGTTAAGGGCAAAAAACATACCATGAATAATGTTATTTACTAAAGAAAAAAAAAAAAAACACATTTATGATGAAATTATAATTTTTTACAGTTTCTGAAGTAGATTAAGATACATGTGCAACAGTTGGGTATTGTTTGTGATGAAACGTTTTGCCTACACAGTAGGTTTCTTCAGTCATATATAAAGGGAGCAGTAGTAATGAAATAATGATGATGTAATCAGTCCATCAACCTTGGAGAAAAAGTATTTGAGGTGGTCAGTCCCTCAGCCTGGAGAAGAGTTCAGCTTCCTGGAGTTGAACTCTTCATCAATAAAGATACCCAATTGTTGCGCATGTGTCTTAATCTTCAACTTGTCTGTATTTTATATCATTTTCAACAGTTTCTGAAGTGGAGAAAGCTGGGACAAAATTTTTAATGAACAAATGGAACAGTTTAATGAAGCAATCAGAATTTAAACCTGAAGTCTCGGATTACCAGCTTATTGCCTTCGTTCAGTGGAGAGAAATGGCGCAAGAGACCGACAAGATAAACACAAATGCAGTATAATGTACTTGTGTCTCATTCTGCCCACATAGTGGACTTTATTAAGTTGTTTGTGACTTGATAAAGTGAAGTGTGGGGGCAAAAGAAAAAGTTATATTACATTTGTGTCCAAGCTCAGTAATGCATTAACCCAGCTCTAATAACCCAGCTCTAGTAATCCAGCTCTAATAACCCAGCTCTAGTAACCCAGCTCATGGATTTAAAACCTCATTACTTCACTGAAATGATGGTGAAAGTCAGAAAAGTAAGGTAAAGTAAGTGTTATGATGCCCTAATATTGTCTGATGGGGATATAAAATAATTCCCAAAAACCCGCACGTGAGAGACGAACCTTAGAACGACATTTCAGTCTGTCCTGGACCATCGTTATGTCTCTGAAATGTCATTAAAACGTTCACCTCTTAAGTGCAGACTTTTGGTGAATTGTTTCACCCATGGTATTGTGACTTTTATATGAAATAATAATAATAATAATAATAATAATAATAATAATAATAATAATAATAATATATTTTTATGATACATAATTGTACAAAGGAATATAATAGTGGAGTGTACATGACAAAAGCCCATTGTATGCAGAGCATTTCATTAAAGTCAAATGCAAGAGGTATGCACAGATTTAATCTACTGTAGTTTACCTGGAGTTTGCCTGGAGAGAGTTCCGGGGGTCAACGCACACGGGTTCTGATAAGACTGAGAGTCTATCAGTTTTATGCTTAAAATAACAAGTTTTCAACCTCCCTCTCACTCTTGCACTCAGTAACACCAACAACCTCCTTCCCACTCTTGCACTCAGCAACACCAACAACTTCCCCCTCACTCGTGCACTCAGTAACACCAACAATCTCCCTCTCACTCTTGTGCTCAGTAACACCAACAACTTCCCCCTCACTCGTGCACTCAGTAACACCATCAACCTCCCGCTCACTCTTGCACTCAGTGGTCTGGTGGCTAAAGCTCCCGCTTCACACACAGAGGGCCCAAGTTCAATTCCCGGCGGGTGGAAACATTTCGACGTGTTTCCTTACACCTGCTGTCCTGTTCACCTAGCAGCAAATAAGTACCTGGGTGTTAGTCGACTAGTGTGGGTTGCATCCTGGGGGACAAGCTTGAGGACCCCAACGGAAATAAGTCAGACAGTCCTCGATGACGCACTGACTTTCTTGGGTTATCCTGGGTGGCTAACCCTTCAGGGTTAAAAATCCGAATGAAATCTTATCTTACCTCCCCCTCACTCTTGCACTCAGTAACACCAACAATCTCCCTCTCACTCCTCCACTCAATAACAACAACACTAATGTATGGCACAAGCATTTTTTTTTAAACACACTGGCCATCTCCTTTTGAGTAAGAGTGACCTGAGAAAAGAGGAAATGCTTTCACAGTCATTCATTCAATCACTGTCTTGCCAGCAGTGTGCTGATGTAACAGTTCAAATGACTCTCTGAACTGCAACTCCCCACCCCTCCTTCAAAGTGCAGGCACTCTACATCCATCCTCCAGGACTCGAGTCCAATATGTAACAGTCACCGAGACTTCAGTCACAGGTGGGCCTTCACATTCCTCTGCTATCTTGGTCATAACAACCCATCTCATTGACTACATACAAATTTACGAATATGCTTAAAAATCATCTCATCTCTCAATACTAACCAAACCAAAACAACTTCTAATTAGCTTGAAGCACCTCTCCCAAATATTATATCATATGACCTCTAGTCTATTAAAACATCTGCCAATCCATAAAATATTACTGTTTGAGCCATTAATTGCAATGTTGTTTTTATTATGTGCAACTTCAAAGTTATTATTCTCATAAACCTCCACCTTGACTAAATAACAAAAAAAGGCACAATACCGTGACTGGAACGATACACAAATAACCCGCACATAAAAGAGAGAAGCTTACGACAACGTTTCGGTCCGATTTGAACCATTTACAAAGTCACTCCACCTTGACTAACTTGCATTAGTACAGTACATTTAGAAAGGAGAGAAAGACACAGAATGACTTGAAGAGTGTATACTGTATTTTGTGGCTATAAGTTTGGGGTGTGGAGTGGGCTGCAGGTCTCCCAGTTACATCCTAAGCCAAGCTATTGAAACTAAAACAAGTCTTAGAAGTCACGTCTTACAAGCCGTGAAATACGGTAAATCTGTAATGGAAGAATGGCGGGGTAGGTGTCGGCCTAGGAAAGCTTCAAGGGAGGGGGTAAAGGAGGTTTCATGTGTGAGGGGCTTGGACTTCCAGCAAGCATGCGTGAGTGTTAGATAGGAGCTAGCGGAGACAAATGGTTTTCATGACTTGATGTGCTATTCGAGTGTGATCAAGGTAACAATTATGAAGGGACTCAGGAAAACTGGTTAGGCAGACTTGAGTCCATTAGGTGGGAAGTACAGTGCCTGCACTCTGAAGGAGAGGTATTAATATGTTGCAATTTTGTTCTAATCATAGTGTAGACACACCTCTGGCAAGACAGTGATGGAATGAATGATGATGAGAATGTTTCTTCTTTTACCGAGTCACCCCGTCTCAACAGGAAACGGCTGATGTTATAATAAAAAAAAATACTATGACTGAAACAATGCACAAATAACCTGCAAGTAGGAGGCTTACATTTATGATGTTTCGGATCGAACTGGACCATTCGCTAGTCACTAGTTGGACCGAAACGCCATCATAAGTGCCAGTCTTCTACATGTGGTTTCTTTGTGTAATTTATAAAATGCTCCTTTGCTATGGAAATGTTTTGTCTACCAGACTTTTCCTTAATAAGTTCCTAAATGATATGTTTTCTTTATATATTTGCTTTACAATGTAATTCTTGATTACATACCATATTTTGTATCAAACATCTCATGCTGTAAGCATCCCAAATTTTTTTTTTTTTTCAACACACCGGCCGTCTACTACCAATGTAGGGTGACCCCGGAAAGAGGGAACACTTTAACTATCACTCACTCCATCCCAAATAGACAAAACAATGCTAATTAAAATGAGCCTTCATAATTCAACAACCAGCAAGAGTCTTCTCAGCTGGAAGCCTAACAATACCATTGCACTTTCTGGTCTATATCTGGGATATAGACCACTTTTATTATTGTCCATATTTCTGTATTTAACTAAATTGCTCAACTGAAGCTAGACTGATCATAAGTTTAAGATATGATAAGATTTTCTGGGATTTTTAACCTGGGGTAGGGAGGGTTAGCCACCCAGGGTTAAACCAAGAAAATCAGTGCATCATCGAGGACTGTCTTATTTCCATTGTGGTCCTTAAATCTTGTCCCCCCCCAGGATGCCACCCACACCAGTACAACAATAACCAGGTCCCTACTTACTGCTAGGTGAACAGAGACAGCAGATGTAAGGTGAGTAACATCCAGATACCTACTTACTGCTAGGCAAACAGGGAGAGCAGGTGTAAGGAAACATGTCCAACATTTCCACCAAGATGTAACAAGTATCTTGACTAGTTCATTAACAGCATTATTAAACTGAATGTTAGTTGCTCAAAAGTAGGTTATACTGAAATATAACACATACATCGACTAATTCATCAACAGCATTGTTAAACCAAATCAACAAAACTGGTTGCTAGTTTCTCAGTAGTGGTTAATGCTAAGTTGTAAGACATACCTTGACTAGTTCATCAACAGCATTGTTAAACCAAATCAACAAAACTGGTTGCTAGTTTCTCAGTAGTGGTTAATGCTAAGTTGTAAGACATACCTTGACTAGTTCATCAACAGCATTGTTAAACCAAATCAACAAAACTGGTTGCTAGTTTCTCAGTAGTGGTTAATGCTAAGTTGTAAGACATACCTTGACTAGTTCATCAACAGCACCCTCTTTGCTTGGGTTAGCTGGGGCTTCTGCTTTGATACACAACAGTTCATAATACTTGTACTTGAGCACAATGAAGTGGAACTTCTTAGTCTCAAATGCATCGATAGCCTGAAAACACAGATGATGATTAACAGTAATAATAATAATAATAAAAATAATAATAATAATAATAATAATAAATTTCCAAGAGGAAGTGGAGAATTTTCCTCCGTAAGCCATGCATGTCGTAAGAGGCGGCTAAAATACCGGGAGAAAGGAGCCAGTGACTCGTTCTCCTGTATACATTACTAAATGTAAAAAAATAGAAAATCTTTTGTTTCTTCTTTTTTTTGGGTCACTCTGCCTCAGTGGGAGAAGGCTGGTGTGTTAAAAAATAATAATAATAACAAAAATTATAATTTATTTCCACAGAATACAGTTCTTACAAAACTGGATGACAATGAATGGTACACAGAGAGAACTGCTGGTTATGAAGAGCATTTCAGACAACCTAAAACCTGTGCAAGAATGGTATATAATACCGACAAGATGAAATTAAGACACATGTGCAACATCTGGGTATCTTTATTGTAGACGTTTCGCCATCCAGTGGCTTTATCAATACAAATTCCAGGACATAACTTGAAGACAGTAGGACTATATACAGAAGATGAGGTAATCAGTCCCTCAACCTAGGAGTAGGTGCGAAGAGCACCATAGTCGTGGAGATTCTGAAGCAGAAGCAAGGAGCCTGGCGCTTATATAGTAACGTCAGGTGTAGCAGACGAGGTCATAGTCGCTGGTAGGCGGGATTTCCCAGTGGAAGTAGGTCCTTCCCAAAGAGATGGGTTAGTTGCAGTAGTAGTTGTCTTCAAGTTATGTCCTGGAATTTGTATTGATAAAGCCACTGGATGGCAAAACGTCTACAATAAAGATACCCAGATGTTGCACATGTGTCTTAATTTCAATCTAAAACCTAACATTAAACCAACAGAACATTAAAAAATCTAATACAATTTCAAATACAGTAGTAACCACTCAATACTTTTTTCCGAAACATTTCACAGACCATATTCGTATGTACGATTGTTCGACAGCTCTGTATAACCCTAGTGGGTTTAACGCTTCTTTTTTATTATAACAATGATTGTTCGACCAAACACACATTATTTGTGTAATTAATCACTGGATCTGGCTTCTGTATTGTTGATTGTGTCTTGATGTTCATCTTGTTAGTTTGTAACAACGAAAGTTTATGAAAAGTTGTAAGAAGTGTTCCACCTCAACTTTCTTACCACCTACTTAACCCTTTGAGTGTCGAGATCAATGCTCGCAAACTTGCGAGCAATAATGAAATAATGAATAATTAAACCAAAAGTTTGAAATTTGATGGAAAACTTACGAAATTACACTCTTGCAAAGTTCGCAGTCTTGGCGATATTTATGCATCGGTGATTTTGCCCACTTTGAGCCTTATTTTGGGCCAATTACTTTATTTCACTCGACCAAGCTCATAGCAATTTTATTCTACTGACTGAGCACAAGAAACTGCCCACTTACCTATTTCAAGTACACAAAAAAGTGATCAGAAATTACTAATTTGGCCAATTTCACACAAAATTCAAGAAAGGTGAATTTCAAAATAGGGGACAATAAACAATGCAGACATTCCCAGCACAAAAATAACATTTTCTCTGTTCATTAGCCACGACTCCAGGCCCCTCTTATAATATGCCTGCTTTCCATTTTGAATTTTTATTCACACAAAAAAATAGAAGATTTACTGTTATGCAGACTACTGCATTATTGTAAAAATTGTATAAATAATGTCAACCCATTCATGACTGCATATCAGACTTGCCACTTAGACATGTATACAAACCATACGAAAATGCCCGCAAAATTGCTGTTTTACACCAAAAGCACAGTCGGCATTTTTCTCATGCACTGCGGCTGCAAGACTTACCACACAGACCTATTCTCTCATATGTAGGCCCAAATACAGTAACATCTCCAGGCACCTCTTATATTGTGCTTGCTTTCCATTTTGAATTTTTATTCAAACAAAAAATAGATTTACTGTTATGCAGACTACTGCATTATTGTAATAACTGCATAAATAACATCAACCCATTCTTGGCTGCATATTAGACCAGCCAGTTGGACATGTATTGCATGGTAACATTGTTTACTCTTGAACATTAGCAAAAATTGAACAGTTCTGTGACTTTGAGCTCAATTTTAAGGTACTTTCAGGCATGAAACCATTGGCAAAAATTGAACAGTTCCGCGACTTTGAGCTCAATTTTAAGGCACTTTCAGGCATGAAACCAATTAAAATGATATCTATTTCTGTAAAATATTTTCCATTCTATCAGATGAGACCAAAAAAACGAGAATACAACCATATAAAAATACACCGCAAAGTTGGGTTTACACCATAAACACGGTTGCAGTTTTTTCTTATTATGCACTGCGGCTGCAGGATTTTTTTTTTATATAGTGCACGCTTACTACACAGACCTATTCTCTCATATGTAGGCCCAGATTTACTGGTCACAGCTTATCTGAGTGAGCTGAGCTCATGGCAACCGACAGTGGCTTAAAAGCCACCTTATCTTTCATGGACAATGTACAGTATATGTGCTTTACACAATGAGAAGCATTTCTTTTATTTGTTGGAACCATGGCTAGGGCTAAAAGTGAGCAGGTTATAACAATGGAGAAAGAGAAATTTGAATGACTTATGCAGCAAGTAGCGCCACCAAACTGTAGCGGCAGGTTGGTGTGGCAACCCTGTAAATTTGAAGTTATGCTAGCTGAAATTAGTGCCGGATTACTGATGGAACCGGATTACTGATGGAACCGGATTACTGATGGAACCGGATTACTGATGGAACCGGATTACTGATGGAACCGGATTACTGATGGAACCGGATTACTGATGGAACCGGATTACTGATGGAACCGGATTACTGGATGAACCTGGATTACTGATGGAACGGATTACTGATGGAACCGGATTACTGATGGAACCGGATTACTGATGGAACGGATTACTGATTGGAACCGGATTACTGATGGAACCGGATTACTGATGGAACCGGATTACTGATGGAACCGGATTACTGATGGAACCGGATTACTGATGGAACCGGATTACTGATGGAACCGGATTACTGATGGAACCGGATTACTGATGGAACCGGATTACTGATGGAACCGGATTACTGATTGCCAGATTACTGATGGCCAACCTGTAAATTGCTGCTTAAGAATTCAAACACATCTTTTGCAACTATCAGTTTTTTCTTTATAGTAATACTGTAGAATATTATGAATCAATTCTGCTAAATAACTAGCAGTATACACTAAATCATACACACTTCAAAATTTATTCTAATTTAAAAATAAATAAATTTAAAAAATAAATTTCTGAAAAACTTGTACAGGTATGTTAAAAAATTAAATCCAATTTGAAAATACGATAAACTCCACTAGCTGTTCTCTTTATTTTTACCACATCAATTATTTCCCACCAAGTTACGGTGATTCAGAGGAAGCACATTCATCACTCAGTCAATAGTTGCTTTTAGAGAAATGTGTAGATATCATCGTTATTAACCCTTTGACTGTCAGTGTCATATACACCTACCATCCGACTTCGACCGAGTTCGGTTCCGAGAAACCGGTCGTAAGTCGAAATGGTCGTAAGTCGAACTTTACTACTGAATATCAACAAAACATTTTTGTAATGACTTTATTTTATTGTTTTATTTTGGTATTTCATGTTTTACTTTACTTTTTATGTTGTTAGTACTGTATTTTATACTGTAAGGTTTAGGATAAACACTGTGTACAACACAAATAGTTGTTTATTTCCCAGAAATTTGGCATAAAAAACACGGTCGTAAGTCAAGTGGTCATAAGTCGAGCAGGTCGTAAGTTGGATGGTAAGTGTACATACGTTTTACGAGCCAGTGTTTTTGACGTATTAATACGCCAAAATTCTAGCGGCTTCAAATCAAGCGGGAGAAAGCTGGTAGGCCCACATATGAGAGAATGGGTCTGTGTGGTCAGTGTGCACAGTATAAAAAAAATACTGCAGCACCCAGTGCATAATGAGAAAAAAAACTCCGTGATTTTTTATTAAAACGCCGACTCTGAGGTGTATTTTCGTATAGTAATTATGGTTGTATTCTCGTCTTCTTGGTCTCATTTGATAGAATGGAAGACATATTACAGAAACAGAGATGATTTTGATTGGTTTCGCTATGAGAAGAACTTTGAAATTGAGCTCAAAGTAGCGGAAATGTTCGATTTTTGCCAATGTTCAAGAGTTAACAAATGCCGTCATGGTCCAGTAAGTGTCCAACTAGACCTTCTAATACACAGTCACGAATGGGTTGACGTTATTTATACAATTATTACAATCAAGCAGTAGTCTGCATAACAGTAAATCTTCTATTTTTTGTGTGAATAAAAATTCAAAATAGAAAGCAAGAGGAATATAAGAGGGGCCTGGAGACGTGACTAATGAACACAGAAAAATGTTATTTTAGTGCCAGGAATATCTGCACTGTTTATTCTGATCCCTATTTTGAAATTGGCATCTTTTTTTTTTAATTTGTGTGAAATTGGCCAAATTGCCAATTTCTGACTACTTTATTGGGTAGTTGAAATCAGTAAATGAGCAGTTTGATAGAACAAATGGAGTTCTAAAGAAATAGCTATGAGTTTGGTTGACTGGAACAATGGAATTGGCTGACAATAGGGCTCAAAGTGGGTGAAATCGCCGATGCGTATATATCGCCAAGATTGCTAACTTTGCGGGAGCGTAATTCCCTAAGTTTTCTATCAAATTTCGTACTTTTGGTGTCATTACCATCGGGAAAAGATTCTCTATCATTTCATAAGAAAAAAAAAGTCATGTTTTTTCGAATATTCTGCGACACAGAGAGACACTTCAGGGGTTGGGGTCTTGAGAGTCAAAGGGTTTTAAAATATTTTTTTTTTAATAGATTTTTTTCTTTTCTGCTTTATGGGCAATGTGTTTAAAGTAGTAAAATTTATTAGTAAAGGAAAGCCCCTAACATGCTGTGCATTTTACGTAGATAATCCCTTTAATTCAATATGTACTAATAAGTATTTTAATTTTTTTTGTATTGTTGTAACTTAACTTTATATTTTTCAATCACCCAAAGGTTGTGATGTAAAAAAATTAGTCGTTGTTATTAATCTTAAGTTAGTATAAGTTTGCCCCCAAAAGTCTGTATATTAACCCCTAAAAAGGTCAAAACGTATATATACGTTTTTTAAACATTTGAAAGTATGTAAAAAAGTAGATCTTTTTGTTTTTTTACATTTGAAAATGTGTAAAAAAACATAGATCTACTTTTGTAGCACTACACATGTGAACGTAGATCTGCTTGGACCATTTACGGGTTAAGGGGTTTTCAGCATGCACACCTATATGCCTAGTATTAAGTAGTCTGTTAAGCACTAGGTTTCGTCTGCCCAATATGCCCCAGCATGATAGTGGCTCTCTTTGATCTTAGCAAATCAAAATTGTAATTACACTTTGTAAACTATGCAAAGAAATAAAATCCTTAATCCTTATATGCAATTCACCTTTGAACAAACAATGTGTCATGTTTAAATAAGGGAGGGGGTAAAGGAGGTTTTGTGTGCGAGGGGCTTGGACTTCCAGCAGGCATGCGTGAGCGTGTTTGATAGGAGTGAATGGAGACAAATGGTTTTTAATACTTGACGTGCTGTTGGAGTGTGAGCAAAGTAACATTTATGAAGGGGTTCAGGGAAACCGGCAGGCCGGACTTGAGTCCTGGAGATGGGAAGTACAGTGCCTGCACTCTGAAGGAGGGGTGTTAATGTTGCAGTTTAAAAACTGTAGTGTAAAGCACCCTTCTGGCAAGACAGTGATGGAGTGAATGATGGTGAAAGTTTTTCTTTTTCGGGCCACCCTGCCTTGGTGGGAATCGGCCAGTGTGATAATAATAATAATCTTTAGATAAAGATACTAGACATGGGTTATTATTATTATTATTATTATTATTATTATTATTACTACTACTATTACTACAGTAGTACGATTTTAACAGAGATACAAAAATGGCCAATGGTACCTATTTAATGGGTCAAGCCTGTAATAGGTAATTTGAAAACACAGCATGTCACTCTGCAGCACCTATTACAAGTTACTAGTAGTAGTTACACTCACACCACACTTTCTGCCAACGTATACATGTACATACCGTTATTTTTCATCCTCTGTGTGTTAAAAGTGATCAGAGAAAACAAACTTCATTTCTATAATATGAAGTACAGTATATTATACAAGTAGCATAAATGACACAGTATATAAACTATTTTGCAGAAAGCTCCTTTTTATGCAAGGCATTTTTAGCAGCCTTAAAACTAAATTTTGATTACAGTGAAACCTCTGGTCATGAACACTTTTGAACACGAACAAATCGGTTCACGATCAAAAAATTCGCCAAATTTTTGCATCTGGTCACGGACACATAGTTGGGTGCTGAACAAACACAGCCGTGCCAATTTTCACTTTCCACACCATTTTTTTCACATGCACCAATTTTCCTGTGATATACACTTGTAATGCATCATAAAACTGGAAAAAAAAAAAGCTATTTTTTTGAAAAAATTTTTTTGGTGTGCGCTCGTTTTTGTCATTAATCTCGGAAGCAAGTTATTCATAAATTACAGTAATTATGACAGTGATAAATTCGAATTAGCAATGTTTTATTAGAAGAAAGTGCCCAAACAACTTCTCGCAGTGCCAGTACCCGGCTAAGGTTTGCCATATATGATTTTTGGTAAATATTTTTTTTCTCAGTTGTTTGTTGGGCTATCTTATTGAAACTTGGGCAATGTATGACGGAAAGATGCTTCTTAACATACACCAAAAATGAAAGAAATCAGACAATAAATAACAGAGTTCACTTCTCAGCCATTAAATCTCTTAGGACTCGTGCAATGTTAGTTTTCTCTGTTGTTCATGGTTGTCTCAGTGTTAATCAAGGTTTTTACATTTAGTTCACTATTACACTGTGTATTCTATGGTATAATTAACTATTTTTATGCTTAAAAATCTAAAAAATCAAAACAATATTTACATACATTTCGTAGGTGTCTGGAATGGATTAATCGTATTTACGTACAATCCAATGGGGAAATTAGGTTCGGGTCATGACCAAATTGGGTTGTAACCAGAGTTTTGGAATGAATTATGGTCGTGATCAGAGGTTCCACTGAACTAGTATATTAGAATCAAGTCCCAGACTGAAAAGTTTTCTAATACAGTGGACCCCCGGCTTACGATATTATTTCATTCCAGAAGTATGTTCAGGTGCCACTACTGACCGAATTTGTTCCCATAAGGAATATTGTGAATTAGATCAGTCCATTTCAGACCCCCAAACATACACATACAAACACACTTACATAAATACACTTACATAATTGGTCGCATTGGGAGCTAATCGTAAACCGGGGGTCCACTGTATATACAAGCAGGCCCTCCACTGTCTTCATTTTACAGCATTTCGCTAATGCAATGGTTTTCAACTATGCCCATTTTTCATTGATTCAGATTTCCTACAGTAAATAAATCTGCCACTCACTCTAAACTAAGGACAAAAATATTTTAAGGTAAGTAATGTGTGTACTGTATATGCATTGTTCACTTAACCCGTAAACGGTCCAAGCAGATATACGTACACATGTGTAGTGCTGCAAAAGTAGATCTACGTTTTTTTTACATATTTTCAATAACAAAAAAAAAGTACATCAAAGTTTTTTTTACACAGTTTCAAATGTAAAAAAACAAAAGAAGATCTACTTTTTTTACATACTTTCAAATGTTGAAAAAACGTATATATACGTTTGGACCGTTTACGGGTTAATATATTATACTGCAAATGTGTTACCAGGCTTTTATGTGCATTTGAAAGTGAAAAAAATGATTTTCACTTTACAACAGTAGCCCAGAACTTACCCTGTTGTATAAGCAGGACCCTCCTGTATGTCCTTGTATTTAAATAAATAGTGTGTCCTTGTATTTGCTCACGTGGCTTTGTAAAACATAAATTAATTCTGAGGATTTATTGGGAAAAAATAAGCTTACCTCTAACGGCTGCACAAATTCGAGGACATCATACCACTGGCCATCGAGAATAAGTTGACGTAGAAAAAGTGCATCATCCGAGTGGTTGCCATTGATGATGCTGTTTCTCTCTCACACATTTAACTGTGAGATAATTGCAAAAGAAGCGGTTGGGAAGTAACTCTAGTGTAAGTCGCACTACATCCTCCTCCCGTAAGCTGAGATGAGCACTAGGCATGTTGATGATGCCTGAAAAATTAAGGAAAACAATTATATTAATGAAATAATTTAAAAAAGGGTTTCAGGGAAACTGGTTATTGGAGTTGGTCTTGGTGGTGGAAAGTACAGTGCCTGCACTGTGGGAGGGGGGGGATATTCGCGTTTTGAACCGCAAGAAAAAACGTGATGGGTCATGATGGTGGAAAGTATTTCTTCTTTTTTAAAACCACTCTTTTTTTGTTGAAAAAAAAAAAAAAAAAAACTAATTGGAATTTCAAAATTTTTGATCATTGACTTGGAGAGATTAACAATAAACCATTAAAAACAACTATGACAAAAAAAAGTTAGAAAAATCTACATTTTGAAAAACAGTATAATATCAGTCAAAACCCTAGCAGAGAGATGTGTTTTCAACTGTACTTTAAAGAATGCCGAATCCAAACCAAAAAGTAAAGTTTTTTCTGTAAAATTTTTCCCGAAGAAAGGCTCAATCAGTCTGAAAGAACCCACAGAAATTTCATGGACATTTTTCCCTGAGCCCAATGTTTAATGGTGGGGATTTTAAACAATTTCTAAAAAGTGTAAATATACTTTCAATTCAAACATTAATTAAAAAAAACAGTTCGGATTGGGCTTAATTCTAAGGATAAGAAAAAGATATACTGTAATTAATACTTCCCAACTTAAAAAGGAAAGTCAAAACAATTTATTATGAAGAGATTTTAACAAAATAAAAGGAGATATAAAAAAAGTCCGGGAAAAACCCCTTTTTTCCAAAATCCTGGGGTGTCAAAAACCCTCCAGAAAAGGTTTTTAGATTAATAAAACCATGGAAAATTTACCCAGCCCGGAGATACAAATGATTTTTTTACTATAAGGATCAAAAATGTTTGCAAAATCCAACTTAAATGCTCAGGCGGTGACTACCTTATGGAAAATTTTCCAAATTCCCCGTCTAGCCCAACTAATCCCATGGAAATCTCCCAATAAAAAAGTCCCCGAAAATACAAGACAAGGGACCACTTTTTTACAAAAAAGCAGCCAATGTGCTGTCACTCACTATTGAACTTGCAAAAAAATCAATTTGAATCTACAACTTCAACAACACTTAACCCTTAAAGGTCCAAACAAATCGGTTCAAATTGTAGTGCTCCAAAAGTGTCTTAATTTTTTTTTACATATATTTTTTAAAAAAACAAAAAAAAAATTTTGACCAAAATTTTTTTTGCCCATTTTAAAAGTAAAACAAAAAGAAATCTACATTTTTTTTTCATACTTTCAATGTTGAAAAAAGTATATATATACCTATCATCCGCTTAGACCCGCTGACTTATGACCACTAAAATTACGACCGTGTTTTTTATACCAAATTTCTGGGAAATAAACAACTATTTGTGTTGTACAGAGTGTTTATCCTAAACCTTACAGTATAAAATACAGTACTAACAACATAAAAAGTAAAGTAAAACATGAAATACCAAAATAAAACAATAAAATAAAGTCATTACAAAAATGTTTTGTTGATATTCAGTAGTAAAGTTTGACTTACGACCATTTCGACTTACGACCGGCTTCTCGGAACCGAACTCGGTCGTAAGTCGGATGGTAGGTGTATACGTTTGGACCATTTAAGGGTTAAGATAGCAAGAGTTACCTCGATCCTCAAAGGAGGCAATCAAATCAATGTAAACAGCTATAGGCCAATGTCCAACTTACCATTACTATCTAAAATCTTCAAAAAAATATTCCATAAGCGAGTTTGCTCCTTCCTAGTGTCTCACAACATATTCAAACTCTGCTAGTTTTGCTTTTAAGTTAAAAAAAAGTATAAATGATCCAATTGTAAAAATGCCTGAACTGTTTTATGCAGCTCTTGGAAAAATGAATATGCTCTGGGACTCTTTACAGACCTACAGAAAGCTTCCAGTACAGTGAACCACAACATCCTGCACCTTAAACTAGAACATTATGGGGTCAGAGGACATACCCTTGCTTAACGAAAGTCTTATCTGAACTTTCTTGATAGTTGCAACAGGACCCATGGACACAATACTAGACACAAAAATCTCTATGACATTCCCAGTGTTAGGTTCAATCTTTTCAAAACTCAATATACATAAAAGGATCCAAAATCTTGAACTCTCTGCCAGAAATCTCCAGAACTATTGGCTTTGCTAGCATTTTTAAAACTACAGTTAAAAACACCTTATCTCCTTAACCTATCCTAGCCCATCATAAATAAGTACGTACATGTAAGTAAATACTATATGTGCATTTGCTCAGTATCAAGAACTTAGTTAAAACATAGTAATCAGTACATATATATTTACTCTCAATATCTTTAATCCTCTCAAATGTTAATCATTCCATTGTGCCCATACAGTGGACCCCCGGTTAACGATATTTTTTCATTCCAGAAGTATGTTCAGGTGCCAGTACTGACCGAATTTGTTCCCATAAGGAATATTGTGAAGTAGGTTAGTCCATTTCAGACCCCCAAACATACACGTACAAACGCACTTACATAAATACACTTACATAATTGGTCGCATTGGGAGGTGATCGTTAAGCGGGGGTCCACTGTATTAGGTTAACCCTTAAACTGTCCAAACGTAGATCTACGTTTGTACTGCTAGCGCTCCAAACATAGATCTAAGTTTTATTTTTCCTGCCTCCAAATTTGGCATGACTGGTCTGAGATGCCTTGTCAGTATAGAATGTGTCTTAACACTTGGTGTGTGCAGTATTAAAAAAAATCTGGGACCACTTAGTACCTTGTGGGAGCACCAATTCAACTGAGTGCCAGCTAGAGCAAATAGCACAGCAAACACCAGGGATTCACTGATGTTATGTCGTATTAACACTCCCTTTTCAAGAGGAAAGTGATGGATGTGGCCATACATGGTCGAGGAAATATAAAAAACCACAATAATAACCCATGTGTAACATTTGTGCAACATCCTTTCATTTTTATACTATTGGTAGTGTCATCCTGCCAGAATGTCCTAAACCTATGCCCTAAGTAAAGAGAAACGATTCTGGAACATGTGTAACATGTATTCGGCAGGCAGGCAGGCTATGGCTCTCTGTCTGTCTATATCTCTATCTGTTTATAGCTCTGTCTATATCTCCATCTATCTGTCTATAGGTCTGTCTATCTGTCTATATCTCTATCTGTCCATATCTCTGTCTCCCTCTTTCTCACATGTACACATAAGTACAGTTATTATGCATAGTGTACATTACCTAGGATAACCCAAAAATTCCAGGCAAAGCACTATACAGTGTTTGTAGATATAAGACATAATAACCATGACCAGCAACTCAGTGGCAAGTAATACACATTTTCACATCATCAGGAATCAGATGTGACTACTGCATCGTGTGTAACACTTGTTGGTTTATGAGCCGCTCTCTGAGACTGACAAGCAGATGGAAAGACACACAACACACACACAGGCAGGCAGAAAGACAGACACACAGGCAGACAGAAAGACAGACACACAGGCAGACAGAAAGACAGACACACAGGCAGACAGAAAGACAGACACACAGGCAGACAGAAAGACAGACAACACAGGCAGACAGAAAGACAGAACACAACAGGCAGACAGAAAGACAGACACACAGGCAGACAGAAAGACAGACACACAGTCAGACAGAAAGACAGACACCACAGCAGACAGAAAGACAGACACACAGGCAGACAGAAAGACAGACACACAGGCAGACAGAAAGACAGACACACAGGCAGACAGAAAGACAGACACACAGGCAGACAGAAAGACAGACACACAGGCAGACAGATAAACAGAGCTAGACAGACAGATAGACAAACAGACAGGAGCTGAGTCTCGACCCCTGCAACCACAATTAGGTGAGTACGTGAGTACAGATAGACAAACAGACAGACATGATTGTGTGTAACAGTGAAAACAAATAAAGCCAGGGTTCCCTGCAGCAGTGCACTATCATCGTGTCACTCCACTGCTTACCCTGTCAGCAGTTTAGTGACACTTGTCATAAACACCATGCTTCAAGAAGTTTCATATATACTCCAGCATGTCTAAAACATTACTGAGACCTATAAATACTTTGTATATACAGTATTTCTAGACAATAGTAAATGACCAAGGAAGGTGAAAATGTTCACCTGTCGGTGTGATTGTGACTATTTGAGTGCTATTTCAGTACATAATAATGTACAGTGGACCCCCGGTTAACGATATTTTTTCATTCCAGAAGTATGTACAAGTGCCAGTACTGACCGAATTTGTTCCCATAAGGAATATTGTGAAGTAGATTAGTCCATTTCAGACCCCCAAACATACACATACAAATGCACTTACATAAATACACTTACATAATTGGTCGCATTGGGAGGTGATCGTTAAGCGGGGGTCCACTGTATTAGTGTCAGAATAAATATTGGCTATGAAATCACAAAAACTATTATAAATTGTAATTATCAGAAGATAAAAATTATAAATTAAAATGAAAACGAGGAAAAAAGGTATATCGGCAACACTTCTGCAAGCAGCAGGACAAGATGTTGCCATCAGGCGAGCATCCAGCGCCAAATTCGCAGTCTTATATCTCGGTAAGTACTGGTCCTAAAATTTTTATTTTGGTCTTAGAACACACAGAAAATTGCCCTCTTTAATTTAAAAAGAGAGAGAATTTTTTTTTTTTTCAAAATATTCGGAGCGCTGGGTGAGAAAATGTAGATGTACGTTTGAACAGTTTAAGGGTTAATAATCAAAACTGTAATTCTTCTCTACCAAACTTATTAAAGCCATACAACATGAACTAATAGAATATTAAATTTTCTTGTATTCACTGTAACTCACCTAATGACCATATGTACAATTATTGCAGTGTTATTGCCTTATTAATCTTAAGTTAGTCTTACGTTTGCCCAAAATAATCTGCATATAAAGAAACTTTTGGCATATACACCCAATTGTTATACTCCTTTGTACAAACATGTATTATGCTAAACTAAAAATATTATTATTATACAGTGGAAC